AAAATTACATGTATGTATATATATATAAATCGTACCATATTATTATTCTCGTTTATACTTAAGTAATAGCTAACTACGGTAGCTTTGGTGTTTCATTGTAATCGATTTTGATAATATCCATAAATCGCCGCTCAGGCTTCCGCTACTTCAGCTAGTCTGACGTACGTCCGCACACTCGCACGCCTACGACTCGTAATAACGGATACATTAGAAAATCGATGCTTCACGCACGTACACCTACAACATGTTACACGCTATGAACGCTCAGGAGTCCGCAGGCGATCAATATCTCTTATCAGTGTTTCAATATCGGTGATATATATATATATATACACGATTGAATGGCAGATATTGCGAAACTATACCACTAAGAAAAGAGTGGCAGGAAAATAGGGACTGATAGGACCAAAAGTACTTGCCCGATAAGCCATCGACGTGTACGCTCTGATACAACACCGATGCGAAAGGGGGGGGGAAAAAATTGACCATAGATCGGAACAAGTAGATATATTGATTTTATTGATAAACGAGTATCGGTCGAAGGGTATGAATTTTGTATAGAAAAAATTGGCCATACCCTTTGTCAGCAGAAATATTGAATGCCTGCGCGGCCCGTTAGAATCGATGGGTCTAGAAAAGGGCGTACAACGAAGTGTCAACCTACGAACCTACCAACGAAAATACATATGTATGATATCTACGATCGTCAACGATCGTGTGACTAACAATTTAATTGGGGGAGATGCATGGCTACGGCCGAAACGTACAAAGCCGCCTCTAAACAGCACACAGAGTGCAGCAGGTCCCAGGTCGCAACTAAAATGTATTTCAAATTATAGGTAGCAAGTTGCAATACGCAGGACGCGAAAATTGAAGTCCATCCAACTTCCCGCGCCCTCCGTTCTATGTCCTGCAGCCTATTGTAATTAAAATACATCGAATTAGTTACTAGTCTCGTGATCTGCGACCCTCGTTCTGCGTGGCGTGTAAGATCCAGCTTTATAGGTTGCAGGACGTAGAACGCAGTAAAGTTCGGATAAACTTCAACGTCGCGTCCTGCGTCCTGCATTTTGCGTTCTGCATCCCGCAACCGGAAATACGTCACGCTGCATCTATTTGCGACCTGCGATCCACGTTTCTACGTAGATAGAACGGTTTAAATCAATCTTGCCTTATCTTCACGATGCACAATTGTCACGGCCACGCGATCATGATAAGTGGTCGTAATCGCGGAGAATATAACGAAAATTAACGAATGTTATAACAATTATGCGGAGTGCTTGAATCAAACGATAGACGATAGAAAAGTCAATTCGCGTGTATTACATTATACAGGGTCCCTGAATCATCTGAGAAGAGGTCGCTGTCAAGAGACAACGTAATAAGTAAGGGCAAGATGTACCCTGTATATATAACCATATGATGTATTTTCCTTTAAACAAATAACATTTTTTCGAATGTAAAATGATAATCTACGAGGGGAATTCAGTTAATCACTTTCAACGCGGAAAATTCTTTTTTAATGCAACCGCACGAAGCATTGGGAGAAAGAAATCTATTATTAGGGAGAAGCTATACTCAAGTATAGGAGAAAATGTGTTTCCAAATGAATCACACGATCTCCCGTGAGTCATGAGATAACGCAAATTCACGCGACCGATTCGTTATAATTTTTCGTTTTTAGCACCTACCGTGGAAACAGAATTGTGCAAATAACACGAACGTCTGCAACTGGATGCGACATCCCCTGAGTGATGTATAATTTTTTTTTTTTTTTTTTTTTTTTTTTTTAATAATTTAGAATCCTTGTTCTTGTGTCGTAATTTCCAACTCACAGCCACGCATATAGTACCTTCCCCGCCGTTTCTCCCGTTCCATCGTCGTCGTCGTCGTCTGAAAATCCCATAAATTTGGCACAAATTCGTGATACCAGGGTTCTTTGATCACTGAATCTTCTCGCGACGAATCGTAGAAAGGGAAGTCGATCGTATCTTACTCGAACCTCGATCAGCATCTTTTCACTTTCGAGGGCGTCCTTTTCTTAGACACTATTCTTCACAAAGCGCGAGAGATCATAATATAGGAGCTACGCCAGGTACCTATCTCGAGTATTAATATACAGTTTGACCTTAGATCAAGTTCTTGTAATTTCGCTAAATTCTTGCCAGAGATCGACGCCAATTTCGTCGTTTCCATGATTGCCAAGATATCTGGCGATCATCGTCACGAGATTGTCCGTGTAGATGAAACGGTCTCTTCGTTTTCCACGTGTTGTTATCGAAATGGCAATGGAGTCTTCCGCTAAGCTCCGTTCGATGGCGAGAATAAGAACATCTTGCATCGTATCCTCGTACTGCTTGCGTAACGTTTTGCAGAACGAAGAGGCAATAAGATGCTGGAAAATCCGCTCTTCGATTCTACAGATTTAGACCTCGATTGCTACTCTACGTTGCTAGGAGCCGTATTATCGCATTGCCCTAAAAGAAGAAGATTAAAGTCTTGAACCATAAGAGGTTCGATCGAGGAAAAAAATGTTAAAGAAAATATTTAAAAGAGGATAAAAGTTGCAAGATAAAAATAGAAGTGAAATAGAAAGATAAAGCGATCAGCTATGTACACTTTAACATTTAGGTAATTCAATTCTGAGTTGGTGAGATAATATTGAAGATTCAACAAAGATATCATTCTCTAAATAAATTTTCATCGGAAAGAAATGGTCTTCAAATTCTACGAGAGATCTATCGTTGGAGATTGGCGCGCTTCACGTTTTCTAATTATTCCAATATTTCGATTTTCCATAATATTTAATAATTACATCTGAGAAATGTCTATCTCGCTGGAGAAAAAGAAAAATGCATTACTTAAGATACGAAGCGCCACTCCGGTTTGAACGTTAAGATGTTGAGCTACTATATATATTCATTTAAATGAATTAATTTCAGAAATGATATTTGCATGCCGATGTGATTGTCGGACTCTTACAACGCGATCAATCTGAAATATTAATAATCCCCCCAAATTTCGCAAATCTTAAAAAACTGTAACGGCACGCAATTATCATTTCTGGCGCTTCGTATCTAAAGTGATGTACTTAACACAAACGGTCTTGCTTCCGATCACAAAAAGAAAATACTCTCAACGGTGTGAAAAGTATTGGGAAATCTAGATTTAGATTTACCTTCAACAAAAGAGCGGCGCCTCTGGTTGGTTCCACCAGTGGGCAGCCAGGAGTAGATAGAGCTCCTGATCCTGGACGGTGTAACCAGGTGGCGGCTGAGAGGGCAGAGGTGGCGGGATAGGCGGCAGCAGGGAATAGGACGGCGGCGGCGGCGACGGGGATAGGGATTGTGAGAATGTTGTCGTCGAGAGCGGCGTCGGCGGCGTCGGCGGCGTCGCGGTGACCGCTGCTGGAGGCTCGTCTTTAGCCGGAGATCAAAGCGCGCAGTCGAACATCGCCAGCGACCGTGTGATCACATCGTCCTGCAGTCAAGTTCACGTCAACTGAGAATCACGTTGTATGTTTTTTCCTTCCAAAAAGTTTCAGAACTTAGCGCGACTTGCCCTTGGAATATCATTCCGCTATCGACGAAAGCACTGAACCGACTACAAACAAGCTCGCGCAGGCTCCATAAACATCGATTGATCTTCGGTGTCCTTATTTTTGTTTCTTGCATTCGTGCCTCACGTGCACTGTGAGTTCACGTGCATTTATTGTTAGAGCATAATTCGTTCCTGTACCCGTGTAGAAAGCCGATATTCATAGTCAGTTCTTATTTTAAGACTGTCTTAAATAATGCTAATATGGCTCTGTGATCGGCTTATACAGCTTATAGTATAGTATCTTACAATTATACTCAAGACGATCTTAAATATAAGAATCAACTATAATAATACCGGCCGGTGTACCGCAGAATCGAATACGGAGAGTTAGAAATTACAAATATTTTACGAAAAAGTTTCTTAACGACACAGATATTGATATTGATAAAAATATCTCTACGGAGATACGTATTTAGTCTTTAATATATGTCGAATGATTCTGCCAAATTAATTCTCAAGACTATAAGTGGATAATAAAATCGTATTTCTCAGTGAAATATAAAATCTGTTATTTCTACAGAAATACGTGATTCAATAATTAATTATCGCGATATGTATGACATGGAAAATTACGAGCTCATTCAAAAAGAGGGAATCGTTCCAAGTCTGGTTGAACTGCGAGTGGAAACTAGCTGAAAGAACACCCGGCAACCATGTCTGGGACATTTTATATGTCTCGGACTTTGAATTCATTTACGAAAGGGAATGCATACAGAGTGTCCCAAGTTCACTATACATTCTTCTACTCTTTTCTTCTAGACTTTAATTAAACTGAGATTATTATTATAGCCTGGCTCATCAATATGGGAGCGTATGTGACACGCAGATAGAAAAGGAGATTAAAGAAAAATCAATTGTACATCAATCTCAAAGAGTCTACAGAGACAAAATGGAAGGGACGACGATAGGGACGCCCTGTATACTTTCCATCTACTACTTGATTGCTCGTAGTTTCATGGCCAGACATACCTTCAAACAACTCTCGATAAACTCCTCGATCGTGATAACACCGTCCTGGTTGAGATCGAGTTTCTTGAAGACCCTGTCCAGCTGTTCTCTCGCTTTCCTATCCTCTTCGGCGTGATGCCGTCTACCCATGAGCTCGTGGACCGCTGTCACGACTTCGCCCAATTCGCCCCTAGTGATGCAACCATCGCCATTTATGTCGTACAATTTGAAGGTCCACCTCAGTTTCTCATAAATGCTACCCCGCAGTAGGGTCGACAGCGTCACGAGAAGGTCCTGCAATCCCCGGAATTATCTAAGTCGCGCGCGACTTTAATACGAAACGCGATGGAATGGCAGTGCTCCTCGAGTGTCCGAGCGTCTGCCCACTTTGTGGATTTCATGAAAATTCAAATGAAATTTCACAATTTGACGGATTAATGAGAAATAGTTCGGACGTAAATGAATATTAAAGAAAACGAGAGACATCAGCGAAGCAGAAAAAAATGTTAATCAATATCTCAAACGAAGCGTTCGTGAGGAAATTTTCAAAGGAAAATTTTGTTGGTTTCGAAATTCATATTTTAAGGTTCTCAAATTCATATTTTAAGTTTAACTCGGAAACATTGTGTGTGTGTGTAAAATGTATATAGCATTTTTTGTTAAAAAGACCACTCTTTGTCCAAAATTTAGCTCAAACAAAAAAATTTCTCTCTGGACTTAAATTGTAAATTGTTTATACACGTCTATTTTCATTAACAGTTCTAGCCCTTTCGGAAATTTAACATGACAGGTCCAACATGGACACGACTACAGTTCACGAAGCACTGATTGAGAACGCTTGAATCATCAATATTGCTTATATCTATATCTAGCAACTACAGTGCACGTCACTTATGGGTGCACATTAAAAAACAAAAGCGATTATACAAAAAAAAAAAGGACCATCTATATAATACGAAACATCGACTAGGGAAATTAGTTAAAATAACGCCCCGGGTATGTCCGAGTTCATGTCCCACGTGAGTACGTGAGCGTTGACCCATTGAAAGCTTTAATACCATGCGCGATGCTCGGCGATCAAGCTGCCTTTGCGGTAGTAATAAATTTTCTGTATGCGCGAATGACCATGCAACATTCGCATGGAATGACGGATGATCAGCGAGCTCCGTGAGAGCTTCGTAGGCGCATTTGCCTCTGTATCCGCTGTACATACCAGCGTATCAGGCATTTATCGTAAAAACGATTAATTATTCATCCGATAAACGATCCGCTCAATTGGCGGATAGTCCCGACTCGGCAATCGACGGCCGGGCCGTTCGCGTGCTGCGTTATTATCGCGAAACGCGGATGTGCATCGCCCGCCCGCATAAATGCATCAGTATTTGCGTTCCGTTTGTCGTACAACGTCAAAATTTCCCATCGAGATTCATTCGTGCCCGCGTTTCATCCGCGCGTCAATGTCGATTGGAGAACTGTATCGCAGAAATCGCGGCGTAAAATATAGTACATAGCAAATTAAGCGTGGCCTGAGCCTAGATAGCGAGCAAAATTAAATTAAACCCGAGCATAGCAGACGATAGTGATGCACTAAATTTAAAATTAATGTATGAGTTGTTTCACACTATCAAGTAGAACGTTCATTTATTACTTCGACTCGGAAATTTATTATTATTGTGTAATTAATTGTTAATTTGAATAAATATAGCGCCTTTAACTAAAATATACGCTCTTTTTATTATACTTTCTACGCTAACAGAAAAAAGATTGTAATTACGATAATTTAACGATAATTTGTAGTCACACACATTTTTTTTATGCTAGTAAGATTGAAATGAAGAAAAAATATTTATTATCGAAGCCTGTGTCTGAACTATCTAACATTTTGGTAGCATTTTGATTTTCCGGAAATTATCGCAGGACAAATCTGGGTTAAGTTTAAAATAGGACCGTATAAGTCGAACAGGATAAATCTGAATTTATCACAGGATTTGATCCTTTAAAAATTTTAATTCAACCTCCAATAACTTTTTGATATACAAACGGATGACTCATAATTTGTGACATTTCCTTATTTTTCCCGTAAGTGATATTTAAATAAAAGTTGTTTGTTTTTGAATCTATTATTGAATAGATTAAAAAACAAATAATTCATCAGTATGCTCCTCGCTGATAAAGTGAATGGCAAGGTTCACGAAACGTCAGCATTAATAATGGATCATGACACGACGATAACTCGCAAAACCTTTTTAAAACGTTATTTTTGCTTAAACCTTTTATCTACATTATATCACGTACAGTTTAGAAAAATAAGAAAATATGTCACAGATTATGAGTCGTCTATTTATCCAAATATCAAACGTGATTGAAAGTCTGCTGATATCGTAGAACGCCAAAGTTAACGAAATATCCTTGATATCCTACTACATATATCAAAATCATTGTACGATCTGGCTATGTTAAATTACAAATGTTACATCTATGAATGGGAAATAGCAACTAATATGTATACTACATGTACCATATACGTTAGTTATATGTTATACAACAGTTAGACATATATCTGTGTTTGCTGGGTATATTATAGCAGTAATATAAAAGCAGAGCTCCTAATTATTTTATCATGCGATTATACATGTAATTACGAATACAAAACACTTTTCTCTCAAAGTATAAGGTATATTTTGTCTACTTGACAATCAATTGAGTACTCAAATAAATAAAATTTAAAAACTTTTTAAGTAATTGCTTTCTTTCGTACAATACACACGTACATGTACACGCGTTTAAGAGGTTATCACAGGAAAATTTTCTCGCATAAATGATGCGCGACGTATTTCAAGACGAGGACACATGTCGCACGCCGTCATTCGAAAGCAAAGGTATACACTATCACGACGTATCAGTCAATATAAAATTCAATCAGTCAATAAAAAGACTATACATTACATGAGAGAAAGATAGAGATAGATAGATAGATAGATAGATAGATAGATAGAGAGAGAGAGAGAGAGAGAGAGAGAGAGAGAGAGACTTAATTACCCTGAAGCTGATGGCCCCGTTGCAATTAACGTCGAAGGCCTTGAACACGTAGTGGGCGTAGAGACTGGAGTCTGCAATTCGCATGAGGGGTGGCCATTAACTAATTACGCAAAAACGTGGACTGTTATTTAATTGGAACTCACTGCCGTGCGGGAAGAATTTCGCGTAAATGTCCTTGAATGAGTCCTCGTGCACTACTCCCTCGGGACACTCCTGGAATAAAAGAAAAACAAAAAAGGGCCGTGAAAAACGATCATACTCAGTTTCCGCGAGAGAGTTTTATCAGAGATTAAGCGACACTCTATGTATATATGTACATACGTATTGTATATATATTTTCCGGTGATCATTTGTTCGAACGAGCAATGCTATATTTTTCTGTGGCTTGAAAATATATGTTCTGGTGAGACACCGATGACTCGTTCGTCCATCAATAAACCGCAGGATAACATTCGTTGCTTTAACATCGTGGCAGTAGTAGTGTAAACTAATTGCATAGGTAACAGCTTTATCGATCCACGTATTTTCATATATCTCGTGTAAGAAATAGCAAATCGAAACTACGAACGTATCGTAAATCATCTACGATAACGATTTCGCAGACTATCGTGAAGTAACTCTCACGTTTACCATCTTTGTGCAGAAGCAGACGAGAACAATGAGGATCCCGCATACGATATCGAAGAACGTTATAGCTGCGTACAGGTAAAATAGAATAGAATAAATAAGTTCCTCTCACACACGACGCCTTCTCTTATCTCACCTTGTATATCCTGATTTCCATATATACGCGCAAATTGAATTTTCCTCGAATAAAGGCACTCTTTGAAAGTGTATGTTCCTTTAAAGTATCCTTTTAAAGTAATTTAATTTTAACAACGCGAAGAATCCGCAAAGAATCGCGTTACGGATGCGGCAATCCCCGAAATAAATCTTCGAGATGTCTTTATAGAGATACGCAAATAATATTGGTTTCACTTATTTAATATACATTGTATTTATCTTGGCAAATTGATTCGCAGATGCTCGCCGGAAACCACGCTGTTATCGCAGGAGCAAGGAAGGACGCTTCGGGCGGAAGACGCCTCGTGGGACGACGGGGTAATCCCCGATTTAAAAATTCTCGCGCTTCGTGCCATAGTTTTGACCTGGAAGGATAATCCTATCCTGGAGGATCTGCCGACATGCGCCGACAGGGATGTACTGGTGGAAACACTACCGACTGATCTACCCTTCGAGTTGACGATACCAAGAATCGGGGACGAGTTTTATTGGGAACGCTCGGCCAAGGACAGGTAAGACGAACCACTTATCGATTCTCGATTACGCGAGATATTATTACGTAATAGCATACTATCGAATGCTATCGTGTACTTTACATCGAAATTGCGCATTGATCGTGGTTAAATAACAGTTAATTTTATTTGACATTAATTGACGGTAATTTCTGATCTTGCAACATTGAAAAAACAACTGTGCAAATATAATCTAGAAGATTGTAGGTAAAAAGTCAAAAGATCGCAGAGTCAATTTTTCTGTCATCACATCTATGTAATTAGAAAATTCAATTTAAAACTGAGCATTCGCTCCATACGACAGCAATAGAGAATTAAAATTGTGATAGCTGATGTATAAAAAAAAAAAACGTGTCCTTTATTATTTTTTACAAAACGACATAGAAGCGGAAGGGGACACTTGGATCTCTTCCTTTGTTAGTCTAATCTCTTATCTTAATTGGTTGACTTTGATGGTATTTTAAATTTTAATTATGTTTAATTAATTTTTTAATTTTATTTTAACTTCCATTAATTTTTTTACGAAAATATTTCTGTCTGTAAAGGATATATTTATCCGTTGAAATACCGATGATTTCATGTAAACAGATTACGAATGCTTTTAAAACGTATAATCAATTGATATTAAAAGCGTGTAAATAATTTGTGTAAACAATTTGTGTACAATTTAACTTTCTCTTATCATCACAGGTGGGAATATAACGATCCAAGTGAGCATGGTAACTCATGGCGGCGATTATATTGCGAACGCCACTTAGTCGAGTATCTGGAAACTTTGCAGGCGAGCTACTTCGAGCCTCAAAGAGAAGAATGTGAGAAATTGATGGCTCTCGTAAAGAACCATATACATGTCATAAGGCTTCGTTCTCTCGTGCCGACCAAGTAAGGCGTACATTAAATCCTACATTACTTCTTGTGCGTGGCAAAAATTAATCAAGACAAATAGAAGGAATTTCCGAGGGAAAGCTTTGTTTTTTCACAAACTTAATACAAATTTATTATACGCGCGGTAAATACGGGTATTATAAGGTGACTCAATTTGGTAAGTTTACAGAGTTCAAACTGTAAGAAGATGGTTCTTAAAATAACAAAATAACAAAATAGATATAAATGTCCTCAAAATTTCGAAAAAATAGCTTTGAAGAATTTATTCGAGAATTACGAATCTATTCTAAGTTTTTAATATAATATTTTGAAATAAGATTGCATCTAATATAGCCTACTTACAATCTGTAGATAATAGCTACATTACATATAGTTAAATCTTCACTGCACCCATCTGAATATGTCTTATATTTTCAATTAAAGAGTAAAGTTACCTTACGATTTTAATTGTTTAATGAATATTCAATTAAACTTCAATTAAGATAGAATCAGTTCTCGTTAATGAGATACTGTACAAAAATTTGCAAAATCTTACGGAAAATACGGAAAAAATGGATTTATTCACGGGTTTATGTAGCAGGTACAAGTACAGTAGACGTATTGTGTAGCGCTAGACGTTTGAGCAGACCTTGCACCGCTTCGCGCACTCCATACAGAAATCCACAGTATTTACGCCAGGCCGAGAACACATCGGAAAATTATTATTAGAGCCGGTCAGTTTGTCGGCTAAAACCGTAAGTGCTTGCACTTGAAGATCCAAGGAGTGCGATGGACTCGCGGCGTAAATATCGCACGAAAGCGTGGCGGCCGGTTCTATAATTGGCCAGAGTATCTAGGAGGCGAATTATAATCGGACGCCGGAAAATCGCGAATACAGAGTTTCAGATTCCTTCATAATTTTCGTTATCGCGATATTATATGCATGCAATTATTTTATGTCTTCTGTAGTCTTTATTTGATTCTATTTCTACGACACCGAAATATGAGTCTGTACACTGTTAAATTCATAATGTCAAATTATACTTATAATTTGAGTCATTTTTCCTATCATTCATATTATTCTCAGAGGTCGCCATTGCTCCTACTCGACAAGTCATTAATTTATCTAAAATGGAGTTAAATAATTTTATTCAAGAAATGTATTAAATTTAATTCAAATTTATTTCATTATTTATTAAGTGCATATACGCTAATATAAATGCTGTTTACTTTTAAACTAAGCAATTCGATCATAGACATGAGTTGATTAGATGTGGTTGATTTCTATAAAAATAATATATTTTAACATTGGAAGTTAAAAATAATAAAATGTTATTTAACTTAAGAAATTGGTTTAAATCGTAAAAGCCTCGCTCTAATGACTTTGCCAGCGATTTGGGCTTCGCCCAACAGTTGACATTACTTTCATTCACACCTTCACATCAAATTTATATCTGTACATTCTTCGTATAATCGATCATTGAAGAGAACACGTGCAAATTCAGCTGCGCCAAGTTGAAATCACGACGGCAGAGGCAGGCATATGGCAAATATACTCGCGAGCGAATAAACTTGTTAATGCATTAAAGATTCTAATTATATACGAGAGGGAAGATATGCACGCTATCGAATTACCGAAGTAATTTTGAACGATGAATTTTAGAACGGTGTAAATTTTTGCGAAATTGCAACATCGCGGCCAAGCTATGTGTGATAGTATGACAGTCGATTCTAGGCTGTAACTATAACATACTATATGCACCACTTTCGAAGCGTAACTTCGCGAAGTAGAAAGTAACTCAACAATAAGAATCTTATTGGACTCTGCCTATGAATACACAATCAATAGGAAATAAAGCCCATAAGTTCATAAATCTTTATTCTTTAGTACGTAAATATTTCGGTGTAAATTTATACATATATTATGTATCAAATTCTGCCAAACTCTCTGCGCGCCGAATTAATTTTTTTCTGACACGCTGTACCAATGGAACTGCAGTAATATTATTACAAAAATTGCCTAACAATTTAATAATTTGATGCTCATAAGCATCTTAGAAATATTTGGCAGAGTTTGACTGATATGTAGTATATAAATTCACATCGAATTATTGAAGCACTAAAGATCTAACTTCGTTGGCTTTAGAAAGTAATACAACTATGTGACAACGTAAGCAAAACTTCTCTTCTGATAACAAGTCTGTTTTTGCAAGCGTATTATGTAATACAAAAACATTACAATCATACAAATATATACGATAAAAATATTAAGACAAATGATTGACGTGCAGTTTGTATAAATTGGAAATTGCAACATTCATGCAAATGAATATGTTATTATTACCGATCCTTTTCTTTTGATGAAGCCTTTGATTTTGTCCCTTATTTGTATTATTCACATATCGATTTTTCATTATTAAAGATATTAATATTTTTCTTAAAATTTTAATATCTTTAATTAAAAATTAATATGAAAATATACATGCATAAATATTTCTAAATGATATTCCATAATAACGACAATAAATTTGGAAAAGCTCTGAAAGCTTTTCCTGAGTTATTTAATTTCGCATGGGAATGCACATGCACAATTTTTGGAGCAATTTCAAAAAGTGCCGATATACTTTTCATACTGGACATACGTTGTGAGAGGAATTGTTAACATTGCTCCAATTCCATTTCATTTCCAACTCTTTTAAGGCCGCATTATAAAATGTTATTGAGAATAGAGGTGCTGTTTAAAAAGTAAAGAAGCAAATTTACATAGTTACGGCCGCACAGTTGGCAGAAGAAGGTCCCTTACTGCCGTTGTAATGAAATTGGAATAGGTAAACGTGAGAGCGGTAAAAAGAGTCGTGCGATCACGTTTGCAAAACTAATCCTAGGCAGAACGAGCAGAATAGTTTCGCCCGTATTGTTCTCGTACAAAAAAAAAGAGAATTAATTAACTTCCACAACGTGAATTTTGCAGTATTATTAATGCGAAAAAAACATTATTATATGGCACGATTCTATAAACTATATAAAAAGTTTATAAGATGAAATTTTCATTTCCTGACTGAATTTATTATAAACGGAAATATGAAAAGTCATTTGTATAAGAGAGAGAGAGAGAGAGAGAGAGAGAGAGTCACAATCAACTGTGCAGTTTTCTGACACGTACGTTCAAATTTTGCACAAACAGCTTCCGCAAGTATATTTGACAGATTTGCTTAAACGTGTGTCAGCCTTAGCTACCTAATTTTATATAAAAATGCATTACGAAAATTTGAATCGATAAAAAACAGACGATTATAGAATTTCTTTAAACACCTCGCTGGAAACAATACATTATATATAGTGTATTCAATCCAATTCAATTGCTTATAATTTTCATAAAAATAAAAATATATTGTAAACAATATTGTTTTCAATTAAAACGCCAGACGTTAAGAAATGTAATAGAAGGTATGCTATACCGAAAAGGTGTTTAAGAATTAATAATGTTACTTTCACATATTTTAAAGAACGTTCTGAGATGAATTCATTCGCATACTAGCATCTTATTCAGACGAAGAAAGATTGCCTGAAAAAAATGCTCGATAAGATGCTAAGAATTTGTATAAAAGCGTTCTTAGAGCTCTCTTTATGAATGTTGCTCTTGCGATTACAGATAAATACAAAAGTGCTAAGTTGAGTCAAGGAAGCGTTATCATTCCGTTATCATTACCGCGATGATAACTGCTACGGGTCCTAGTTTAAAAATCATGGTCTCATTTAATTAAGAGAAAGAGAAAGCTTGGAGAAGTAATTCTCTCATATCACACTGGACTGCTCCCTTTTCAAGCAATCCGTAAATTCGCTGTAAGATTTATCTTCACTTTTATTCGGATTACGGAAAGATCCTTTTATCATGATCTGTCAGCTTTATCTATTTCTTTTAATATCACATTTTATTTATTAAACAATTATAAAATATTAACAATAAATATTTAATTTATTAAATTATAATGATCCTTATTACAACAATTTTTGACATTTGAAAATTTTCTTTTTTCAATCTCATTGTCTCAATAATTTAACAAAAATATATAAATGTTGATTAATATTTTAATATATATGACCAGCAATAGTAATGTTCAAATATGCACATTTCTTTACGTAAAAATATATATATTTTTTAGAAATAAATATTTATTAAAATTTTTCAATTTAAACACTGTTGTTTTAACTCTTTCGTTCTTATTTATATAACTACGTACTATGAGCTATAAAATAAAATATGTTTATATTTTTTTCGTATCTGTGAATATATATATATATATAAGCTTCTTACAGTTTTATATAGCTTAAAAGTTTCTATAATAACTTTATAATGTCAATTATTAGCTGCAATTTTTATACATTTTTAAAATGTCAAAATATCTTTACAGATTGCTTGTCATTACGTAATAGGCATAAAAATATTTTTAGCTGCTAAATAACTTAGGAATGAAAGAATGAAGTATACTTTCAATGTTAAACGCAAATTATCTGCGACAAATGCAATTATACATAGTGCTGTATACTAATTAATACACGTAAACTGTCAACATCATCTTTCAATGCACGTGCAAATTTATTATCCTGAATTCCATTTCGCATATCAATTTAGCACATCCAACATATCTAACATATATCTGGCAGTTAATATGACCCGGCGCGTGTACGCGTTCTTCAATTATTCACAGCGACTAGCATATAACTAGGCCTCTACATACGCGATGCAGTTTGTGTGCAACGTAATCCATCGTCCAATATTGATCAGAGCCACGACTCACTCAAATACATCAACTGTTTCGCGGATAAACCGTTAAGTAACAATCCCAACTAATTTTTTACCTGCGCGTGGATTTCTGCAATACGTTACCGAGGATAAAGTATTTTTTTTTTTACATTAAAAAATTAGTTTTCCGTCGTATCTCGTCGCAAATTAATTGATATTGCGGATATAATACAAAAAAATTGCAATATGTATGTATATGAAAAAGATAAAAAATGTATGTATAAAGATGAAATTAAAATGAAAAACTCGCAAAACAAAATTTTTTTATCCTTACATTCGTAGCATTTCGCAATATTTCATTCGGAGCGAATGCAATTAAAATAAAAATAAAAAATTTGATTTTATATATGTATTTCTACATTTTTTAAACTTTATTAATTAAGTTTACAATTAAATATGTTATTATCAAGCTCCGCTTGTTAAAGCATAGTTTTATCACGCATAAACGTGTGATTAATTTCTAAAATATATTGCTTTTGGCTTTTAATTAACCGGTGATATTGAATGAAAATCAATTACCGACAAAATAGCGTTTTTCATGATATGTGGTTTGGATACGACTTCCAGAAAGCGAACTGATATGGAAAATGATGAATTAATCCTAGAAGACGACGTCGTGCATCACATTCCCATGGCTGTTATACTTCCACAATTCCCGCATCTCACCGAGATTTATCTCAACTTCGGTATGATCTACATGAATGACGGTTTCGAGTGGCGAGATTTTGAGTGAGTCGGAAGTTTTCAGTGAGCGTAAAGATGAAGAGGATCCCAGCGTTAAATGATTGATGAAACATTCATCATTCGTACAGATTTTCGTTGGAGGATTGCCTAAGTCTGGGGGAAGGAATTAAAGCCAGCCCGAAATTGAAGAAATTCAGTCTAACTCGGAGCAACTTGGACCAGCCCCGAGTCGCTGCTATTCTTCAAGGGATGATATCGAACGATAACGTTAGTCAATATATCTGCATTATGCGAACTAAAAGCACGGACCATATTATTTTCGATTAAGAACTTAAAAAAGTGCAACTAAAAGTACAACTTTGCTAAAAGCTACGCTAACATGGTGACTGCATGAGCACTATACGCTTTAATACTTTCAGTAAAACGATAAAATATAGCAGTATCTACTGAATATTATTCCTGTAATATCTACATATAAAAACAGCTTAGCTGTTTCTACTGCTAGATAACGTTTCTACTGCTAGAGTTATATATGTAGATAGCAGTATATATGTAGAGTTATATATGTAGTGTATTGCAAATAGTGTAGTGTATCTACTACAGCTTCGTAGTAAATTTTTAACGCGTTATAATGGTGGTCATCCGTAATCGACGATATTAAAATTTTTTTTAAAAAATAAGTGCTTGTAAAAAATAAGTACAATCTGCAATAATATATAATTTTACATGAAACAATTAACTAAATAATATAAAATATAAAATACGTTATTTAACACAGAATATGATAATCGTGTTACATATCTTTTCATTCTTTGCTTACAGTAATAAAAATTTTACTATATTGCACACGATAAAACATATAACAAAATTTGCTCGACAGGCAACGTGTTAACAAAGAATTTTATCGCTGCATACAATATTATCTCAATTATCTCGAATGCAGATCGAGGAATTGGATCTGTCGCATTGCAAGTTGAAGGATAAGGGTGCACACGCGGTAGGCGAATTTCTGTCGAGGCACCAGAACCTGAAGATTCTGCATTTGACAAATAACAATATTGGACCGATTGGAGTTGCCGGTATCGTTCACGGATTATTAAAAGCTAGCTCGACGGCTCTAAAACATTTGGATTTCCGATTGAATCCTTTGCAAACTGAAGGAGCTAATCACATATGCGCTCGTAAGTTTAACATATTATAGTGTCGTTTTTCATTGATAATCCCAAAAGCAAACGAAATTCACGTTCCTCAGTTCTGTCCAGATATTAAGTTGCATTTTTATTATTACAAATTTTATTTAATATGATTTTCTGCTAAATATAATAATAAGATTAATATGTAAACCATTTCTTTCACTAAGATCAAATTTTTGCATGATGAAGAGATTGACGAGTGTTTAAAAGAAATATTTAAAGATGTCGAAAACTTTCTTCAAAATATATCAAAATTCATTGTAAGATATACAGCTTTTAACTTATGGAGTAAACGATTTCACAAACAATTCTCTCTCTCTCTCTCTCTCTCTCTCTCTCTCTCCTTTTTTTCCTTTTTTCTCTCTTTCTTTATTCTTCTTCGAATGAGTTATCAAGATAAATAATTCTTTATTTGTTTGGAAAAATGCAGCGCTATTATCCAATGGTGTTTTCTACGGAATTCAGTGCCCGAGTAATACAAAGCTCGTCGAGATAAATTGAAATTTAATGTTGCGTGCAGTACTATTTTATTCCGGGCACTAGTATACGGATGTGTTGCATTTTCGCCGAATAATGGAAATATCACGGATTTCGTATTCCTAGCATCGTTTTCTCTTTCAAAAAGTTTTTCTCTTTCTAAATTTATCAATATACGCATAGCTATATACAGATCAATAACAAAATTGAAATAGAAATCGAGTCATACTTAGATTTTCTGTATTTCTGAATATATAATTTTTATGACGCTAATAAATACCAATGAAAGAGAATCCCCCCCCCCCCTCTCTCTCTCTCTCTCTGCCCTAGAACACTAATAAACTCACTGTTTATCTCTTTCTACAAGAAAATAATAGAATTTACTTCTCTAAATATCTCTGCCAAATTCGTCTGAGTTAATGATATTTTATTGTCCAAAAACTCTTAAAAATACGAAAATGTGCATCTAAAGTTAAAATAGTAAGAATAAAAGATGTCATTATCTTGAATTTTATTTTAAAATATAATTGTCTTAAATGGACTGAATGAAAGCTATGACGCATGACCTCGCTGCATGAAGTGCTGAACTGCTTACTACCGATTCTTCAAAAACTGAATGCACAAAATTCCATACAATCTCGAATATTAGCATAGTAAAAAAAGAATATAATCGACTCGCAAGTCGAAAGTGTGGCATAAGCAGCATGCTAAATTATTTAAATAAATGCAAGCTAAATAGCAGATCGTGGCATGCGCGTGCATACAAATAGGATGTTACAACACGTATAAAACGTGACTAAAATTCCCACATAAAAATACATGATAGGGCAATAACATCTATTACAGGTACAAAATCACTGCAATTTTTCGAGGATATGTTCTCGGATACGTGCTCATTATAAAATAATAGCCCAGTGTTTTTTTTTACGTTTATGAATAAAAAATTCCAGAAAATAGGTTGCTAATCTTCGACCCTGATCGTTTCTTTAGATGTAAAGTTTTGCTTAATGCTTAAATTATCTGAAAAATCATGCAAACGGAAAATATCAGAAATGACAGAATGTATCGTTGTATTACTTTAATGCAGAATATATATTACGCAAGATAGAATTTAACATTTATAAATAGTGATTACTTCGAGGATAGTTTTATTTTCATAATCTATTTATACATATATGTATATTTTTATATTACTTATAATAGTTATAATAAAATTTTGCAAAAATATCCTTCATTTATAAGAGATTTCTATATGCCTTGTTAATTAATTCATCATTTTCAGTCTTGGTAAGAAACAAAACTTTGGAAACATTAAATATCAGTGGCTGCGAATTAGGTCCGGAAGACGGTATAGCGTTGGCCGATGTATTCTCTTCCGGTTGTGTGGAACTCGAAGCTTTATCTCTCGATGTATCAAACAATAACTTTGGATTTACAGGTATTAATAACACGAAGAATTACCTTATATAAAATCTATAGAATCTGTACGCTTTCGTCCTTAATTCGAAAAAAATAAAGACGTTTAAAAGAAAGATTCTCGAAAAATTTTTAAAGTCATATGTGGAACGGACTGAATAATTGCATAGAAAGATAATAACAATGAATGCAAAGAGCCCAAAAAGTTTTAAGGGCCATCAATTATTTTTATCGTTGGAGAATCGTTGCGCAATTATCTTACTGCTTGCAGTCCTCGAAAGATTTGTGTTCTGGTGAAAAAGCGGCTATAAAATTTGTTCCAGCTGGAGAGTCATTCGAGGCGGCCGTGGGCTCAAACCCGTACATTATCCACTTGGATGGTCGAATGTGCAATTTCTCGAAAGAATCGGAGTGCTCGATCATCGAAAGCGCACGCAGGTGAAGCCCATGATTATCGATTACGAGAAATAAAATGTTCCACTTCTTCTTTCTTTTTTTTTTTACACTTATTTAATTTTCGAGCAGCCTGCTCTTTCTAACGTGCAGCATCATTTACGTTTTATTTTGGTTACTTTGTCTATTTCTACACGTGACGTGCTCAAGACAATAATTTCAATAAATCTGCAGGGAACAATCGAGATATAGTGCGCAGTCTGTCGGAGATCTATAAATTTTCATCGTATTTTCGTATTGACTTTATTGGTGATTTTAGGCAAACTTCCACGTACGTATGTCGCGATTTATTAAGACAGGCAAAAGGATTGTTATGTTCTCGAGAGAATTCACGATTTCCACTGTATTCATGATATAATTTTCACGCGCTCCAAATTTATATTAACTTCCAACTGCTTCTTCGTGTTTATATCGTGGATTTTCATCCAGCACGTCTCAGGGATTATATAATTTCTCTTGAGATTCTTCAAAATGGGAATTGAAATACGTCCTGATAATTAATATGTCATAGCCGAATGAATTTCGTCGCTCGATAGAATTTCTTTTATTAGCGAAAACATTCAGTATTTTATCCAGTTTCATTTTACGAGAATCGCAAGAGGCAGGTTGGTGACAATTCCTTCAAACATTTCGATTACCTCTTCCAGTCAATAACGTCACGAGATAACCACTCTGAGCTCTGGATTGCTTGCAGGCTGCGTTTGCAAACCTCATTATGCTCGAAAGGGCAACACGATCTCGCCGTCAGAACAGAATAGATATGTTGTCAACTTCGGGCGCAAGCAGTTCGACAAAGGCGACGACGAATCTTGTCGTGCTTGGCCGCGCGCCAAGCCGTTGTACGAAGACAACTTTCTTTCTTAATAGAACAACGATGTCTCGCCGTATCGTCAGTCGTTAATCGGCATCGTTAAATCGCGAAAAGCGATTGATTGTTGATAGCAGAGAATCGCTTCTGGCGCACTCGCGCGTGCGCTTGCGTGTATATAAGTGTAAGAGAGAGAAAGAGCCTCTGCTTGCTGTTAAACTCAGTTTGTTACACGTCTATTTAGCGCGCCTCGTTTCCAGTCCAGCACTAATTTAGTCAATCGATTTATCCGTTTTTCCCTCTTTTTTTTTTAGGAACGCACACGCGGTATCCCTTGTTCTTCTTCTTCTTCTTCTTCTCTCTCTCTCTCTCTCTCTCTCTCTCTCTCTCTCTCTCTCTCTCTCTCTCTCTTTCTTTGTCTCTCTTATTACACCGATCTCCCGTTGATCGCGTCTTCCATGCACCTTTGACCTATTGACTCCGTTGTTCACGTGCTGCGTAATATAAGCGTATCAAGGATCCTCACTTATGAATACGTGGCGGCCCTGAGGACTGATTGCACATATGAGATGCGCAATTCCGTGCCCTCAAGACAATCGTCCAACGTTGACAATAATTATACGTGTACTGTATGTCAAGAATTTCAACATAAGAATAGTCGAAATTAATCTCGTCTGACATAAATACATCTGTCCTATCTTTAAAAACATTGAATCATTGCACAATGATATAAATTTTATAATTACTTTAATGCAAACGTTTTCGCTTTTATAAATAATCATCAGCAACGGTACTAAATTTTCAATCAATTATTTTTAACTTTTGCATATCACGATATATACTCATACAAGTCTACCTGAAAATGCATACCTTATTTAAAAAAAACAAAATATTCTTCTTTTTTTGAAATCTTTTGATGTCTTTTATGATAATGTTACGTCTATCTTAAATTTTTATTTATTAAAAGACTTAGTGAACGTAAGTCGAAAGCTTAATCGTTTTTGAGATATAAGCACTTTTACGTTAGCATCAACAATGACTTAGAAGATTTTATATATCGGCAGTTAGTCAATTGTTATCAATCGGCGATTGTAGTTCTACATATTATGTTTAGTGATTACAATAACAACTGATTGCCGGTAAAATCTTCTGTATTAAGCATATATACAGAATGACAATATTCAGAACACGATTTACAAATATTAAAATAAACATCACATGCAAGTGGAAAAAAAGTGGAAAAATCAATAAATCATTCATAATGCTACATATAAAAAGATTTATATGTCAGAAAAATGATTAAGCTTTCGATTTATGTTCACTAAAGTTTTTTTTTACTCAGTATGATGATGTACAATGAGGAGCAAAAATGAGTTCCTTTATATGAGTTCCGGTATAGCTATAGGGTGTAGTGTTTCTGTAATACTATTGAATAGTAAGATTAATAAGTGCGATGATGACGCACGAATAGTGCGCTCTACCTATATATAACTACACCAGAAAAGAAACTCATTTTTGTTTCTCATTGCACTATACTACATAAATGCTGAGATGGTTTTCTCGAACACCCTATAAATATATCACAAAAATAGTAAATACGATTTTATGATAGATCTGATAATAAAATGGTCGTATTGATATTTTGAAAAGAACTGAGACGATCATTGTTATCGCATTGAAATTACACTTCGACATATTACATTTCCGTTTCTATAATCGTGAGACGTAAAACTTTACTTCAACAACTTAGTATTGTGAGCGTTTATTTTCTGCCGGGCATACTTTTCAATTTATTTTATCGCGATGAGTTATTGCTTCACGGTTGCCGTTATAAATGTTTGTACTCCACGTTTACGCAGGAATAAACAAAACATGAAAAAGGAGAAGAATAAAACGGCGCTTTCTCAAAGCAGCGCTGTCTATAATTCACCCAGTGCCAAGAATCTGCAACAACAGCCGGAAGTTAGGTCGTCAGAATCAAGGGATATCGTGTAACATTTTTCTGGCAGACAAATCGGTGCCGATAAAAGTTACTGTATTACTTTATACATTATTGCTTCATTTTAACCCATATATTAAATACGTAGCATTATACGATACATAAACGTGTCATCAACTCAACATACAAGAATATCATAAACTTTTTATCGCGCCTTTTAATTGACTTTAGAGGACCATGCATACATTTTTGTGAATTATTATATACATAAAGCCAGTATCCATTGCCCGTGCTTATATTTAAGACCATCTCAAGTACAGTACTAAAATATTGTAAACTGAAGCCATATTAGCATTTTAATCCATTAAGTCTCAGAAGATATTCTTATGCACTTTTCTATTTTAAATTCTTATAACTCGAGTGCTAATAAAAATTTTTAGATTGAAATTGATATTTAATGGCAAAAAGAGTTACTTTCTGAAAATCTAATCACCGATAGTATGAGAAAAAAAGAAAGGTGGAGATAAAGAAAACTCTTATCTTTTTTTTTTTTTTACCGACAAATAAATAATTCAACTAATAAATAATTTCATTTATCTTTTTGAGTAGAATATATCAGTATTGTTATAGATTAGTCAAATAATAATTATATCAATTTCTTCTATTCAACTTGAATAATCTGATAGTATAATTATTAAAATATATAATTAATACTTGAAATAAGAATAAACTATGAATACCTAGGTCTCTCTAATACCTTCCGATTTTTTGTGTCTATATATCGAGTATTTTTTATTTAGAATATTACTTTATTATTTAGAGTATACTTATTGTTTACATTTCAACGTCGCGTTGGAAATGTTTCAATTTGAAACTTTCGAATTTTGTCACGCATTTCTCAGGTTTAAAAATGATACGCAACAGTATTCAAGGCGTGACTTAAAAGCAATATTGAATTTAATTAATCACATTACAGAAATTACAGATGAGCAAGAGAAGAGCAAAATCAATCCTCAAAGTTCAACATTCAAGTGGCCTCGTCTATTAGAAGAAGCCGAGCTCTCCTGGTCATGGAAAATTTAAGACGCCGTTTAGATATAGCGACGCCACGATGTATCCAGAAGAGTGCTTACCAAACGAGTTTTCAAATAATAAAACGAAGACGATGCTCCATATACACCGAGGAACATTGCCAACTCTGATTCCAATCAATCTACTACCCATTTTTCCAAAATCAATATAACTAATATTTTTTAATGAAACGAACTCTCTAAACAATAAAAATAGCAAAATTTTACAATTTATTATAAATATAATAAATCATTGTATCTCTGTTGTCTTTATTCATTATACTGTGTACTCGCTCATTTTTTATCCTACCTTTCCCTTATAACTTTTATATCTAACGAGTTAATAAAATATTAAAATACTATATCAGAAAGAATCGTAGAACAAATTAATAATCCTTCACTTTCATCGTAGATTAATATAATTATAGCAATATTAAAAGTACAATGTTACATATTAATTTAACAAAATATGTTTTAATGATAATTTTTTATTTCGCAAAGTATTTTATTATTGGAGAAAAAGTGACATTTCTCAATTATTTGTATCTTTTAATCGACTAGACTAATTGAATCGTCGAAGCGCTTTAACAATTTAAGTAAATATCACGATCGAGTTCCTACTTTAAAACGTAAACTACTTTTCCTACGTTCCTACTTCAAAATAACAAATTAATCAAGAATTTAAAAATACATGGCGATAATGCAAACATTATGCGAATCTGCTAAATACACAATGCGATGATGAATATTACGTGAACTCATGTAACGCGATAATAACGCGTCCTTTATTACGCATGTGACGAAGATTGCATTGTCAACGAAATCAGCAGTTGCGGCGGACTATCCTGAATAATATCTACGTTGTCATTGTAGGGAGTTGCAAATAACAATTTCTAAACTGTACGTGTCTTTCAACGAGCGAGCGTTCGCGTGAACAATCACATTTGTCTATGTATATATACGCACATAATGAATGACTAACCGAAAAAGTTCACGCAAACAGCGAAATTTGCGCCGCGTGTCTGTGATTAAAAACCCTCGCGAAAATTCGTAAGAACTTTCTTTGTCATAAAAAGTACCGAAAATAGCATAAATAATCGAAACAAATGCCAGAAAATGTGAGACACATGAGAAAATACACTGCGCTTACATAATTGCGCTGATATTAAAAATTATACTTTCAACTCTCTCTGTCCATTGTTGTATATAATTTCTTGTATTTTTTTACCTGTATCGTGAAACCAGGCCACATATCTTATTCCCGCAATTATATGTTCCATACTCAAGAATATTCTTCCGAAGCTCATCAATTTGTTCTACGGAGCTAATACCCGTTTGAAAATCGTTTCTAATGGGTGGGTAATATATTCGCATTAATAACATTTGCTTCAATTTGTCTGATAGATTGAGGATACATATGCATCCACAATTCGATACTGTAGTTACTTTTTTTTTTTTTTACTCAGATTAAACAGGAACTCTCTGCGGTGACTTTTAAACCAATTCCGAAAACACAAAGCGCGAGCACTAGATAGTTAAAACAGTAACGACGTTCCGGTTCAAGTGAAGTTCGCGTGTGAATATCTAGCTCGAATCAATATTAACCACGTTCACCATGACTTGCGGCTTTTATTTTCGATCTCCGCCGTTCTTCAACAGCCGCATGTCCATCGGAAAGAGAACGAAAAAATAAAGTTTCCCTTTATCTGTATCCCTTACGTTGTGTTTCCATCAAACTTTTTTCCATTTATATGTACAAACATACGTACACACATTTACATACATGTATGGATTTCGCTCATGAATGAGTGAGCTCATCTAACTTGGCACGGCCTAGTTGTTGCCATAAGCCATGTGGCGTATTAAATCTCACGAAGATGCTATTGATCGTTGAACAATCCGATCCATTCGCGATTGCAGTTTTTGTCCATTCTAATATAGCTTTTTGTTTCGCGCTCCGAGTCATAATTGAAACATTCAAGTAACGCGCCGCTTCGCTGAGCCGGTCTCGCTTGGCAAAAATCTGTGTCTTTCTTATCGTTTCAAATGACGTAAATGAAGTACAAACGGAAGAAAGACATCGAAGAAAAATATTAGGTTGGAATAAAAGTTCATAGTGCATATAAACTTCAAGCAACTTCGTTAAAAATGAACAAAATTTAAAAAAGGATTTCAAAATGTAAAACCTGCAATTATAGTGAATGTAACGATTTTTCTAATATCTGCTTACCGTAGTAATGACTAAAAAATATGTAAAAAAAAAAAAAAGAACCAATCACTTTTGGTTTCATGACACCAGTATAATAGTTACGTATCACAGCTTCGATGATCGCACGCACATAATGCAGTTAAAACAGTTATAACTTGCACGGTTCGAAATAACTAAAATAAATGTAAGTAGCTGGCATAAAAAAAATAATTAAAAATTTTAATTATTAAGTTGTCATATAGTCGCGACTATTTTCTATCAGCGTAAAT